AACATCACTCATAATGTTCAACTGTTTTATGCAATTTGTACGATATAGGGATCTTATTTTCTAGGAAGAAAACTAAAACTTGATAAGGTGTCATTTGAAGTAGCACCATGGGCTATGGGGACGAAAGTACTGATATCATTGGGAGGTACTGGCAGACGTTGAGGTACTGGCTGGGCGAGGGACTGGTAAGTTGTGGGGCACTGACAGGAGTTGAGGTACTGGCATGCATTGAGGAATTGAAGGGATGAGGGTACGGGGATGAACATACTGATAGAAGTTGGAGGTACTGACAGGAGCTCAGGTACAGGCTGGGGTAAAGATACTGATATGGATGGAGGTATGGGAATGAAGGTACTGGTAGGGTTGGAGATACTGGTAGGCATGGATGTACTGGCAGGGCTAGGGGTACTGGTAAGGGAGGAGGTATCTGCAAAGATTCAAAAACAGTGATGGGGACATTAATAAGGATTGAGGTATTGGTAGAGATGGAGGTACAGGCATGAGTGGGCATATTGGGTTAGAAGTACTGACAGATATATAGGTACAAGGATGAAGGTACTGGCAGACAAGGAAGTACTGGTCCCGGGTACTGGTAGAAGATGACATACAGACAGGTGTAGAGGTAGGGACAGGGTTGGATGTACTGACAGGGGTGGGGCATTGATACGGGCAGGGTAGAGGATGGAGTTGGGGAAGGCTGTAAGCACGTGGATGGAGTGCTGGTGGATATACTAATGAAAGTATGAGAATAAAGGAGGACGTATGGGCAGGGGTTACTGGCAGAATGGGGTGTACTGGCTGAGAGACTGACAGTCGTGAAGCTACTACAAGGGTTGGGTACTGCAAAGGTGAAGGTACTAGCAGGGTTTGAGGTACAAGTATGGATCTACTGGTAGTCAGGAATGTAGTGGTAGAGGAGGATGTACAGGTTTTGAGGTAGGGACAACATGAGGTATTGTGGAAGGAGGTACTGGTATGGTGGAGGTAGAGGAAGAAGCGGGAGTATAGCCTGGCAGGGTAGAACTATTGAACTATTATCAGGTGATGGGGTATATGAATGGGAGAGGTGGGAGGTACTGGTAGGAATGAGTGCACATGCAGGAGTGGAGGTACTGGAAGAGGGTGGGATTACCGGCA